GTCAGCTTTCCTGCTCCTCTGATGCTGCTTGGCCTGCTGTGTTCATCCAGTTCTACACCTTGTTATCTCAGAAACACCAATCCTCTTGCTGCCCGCATGCTAATATCTATCAACATCTGTTCACCTCTGTGCATGCTGATTTACAAAGGCTCATGGTTCAGCTGTCCTAGACTTTAACATTCTCACCATCGTTTTTTATTAATGTGGGGTCTTGTGACTCCAACCTCTCTTCACTCCACTTTACTCTACCAGCTTACAGTGGGAATAACCAGGTTTAAGTGGGAATAACCAAGTTTCAGTAGGAATAACCAGGTGTCAGTGGGGGATGCTCAAGGGAAGGAATTAAATCAAATTAATGTATTCTTATGAAACAAATGTAATTACTGAAATTTATAATTGATATGTACATTAATGTGTGAAATAAAGTCTGATTTTATTACCTGCTTGATCAGGGTCAATTGGACTCAACTGCTGGCTCATCAAGGCTAGCCTTCACTCAGCTGGCCAGGAGTATCACATTGAGACACCTCCCTTCCCCTTCTCACAGCTATGCAGTCTCCTGGGAGTAGAATTCCCTCCACCCTGAATTTATTGCTGGAGGTTTCACCATTTGACCCTGTGTCTCTACCCTCCCTGCACTCTCCTTGCTTACCTAAATAGGCATATCTAAATTTGTACAAAATCAGAAATTACTGGAAAAGCTCAGCAGGTCTGGCAGCATCTGTGGAAAGAAATCAGAGTTCTGAGGAAGAGAAATCAGAAGTCAGAGAATTCAGAGGTCTGAGGAAGAGAAATCAGAAGTCAGAGAAATCAGAAGTCAGAGAAATCTTCTGAGGAAGAGAAATCAGAGTTCTGAGGAAGAGTCACTGGACCTGCTGAGCTTTTCCAGCAATTTCTGCTTTTGTTTCTGATTTACAGCAGTTCTTTCAGTTTTTATTAATAAATTTGTCCTTGGTAAATGGCATGTTGGCCTACATAACAAGAGGATTCAAGTACAGGAGCAAGGATGTTATGCTGGAATTGTACAAGGCCTTGATGAGATCACATCTGGAATATCGTGTGCTGTTTTGGTCTCCCTTTCTGAGGATGAATGTTCTGGTTATGGACAGAGTACAATGAAGATTTATCAGACTGATTCCAGGGCTGATAAAATGAAGAGACACTGGATTGTTTAGGACTATATTCGCTAGAGTTTAAAAGAAGGAGAGGGGGTTCTATTTGAAACCTGTAAAGTCTTCATAGGACAGCACAGCAACTCAGTGGTTAGCACTGCTGCCTCACAGCACCAGGAACATGGGTTCAATTCCACCCTTGGGTGACCGTCTGTGTGGAGTTTGCACATTTTCTCCGTGTCTGTGTGGGTTTCCTCCAGGTACTCTGGTTTCCTCCCACAGTCCAAAGATGTGCAGATTAGGTGGATTGGACATGCTAAATTACCCGTAGTGTTCAGAGTTGTGTAGGTTAGGTGCATTAGCCATTGGAAATACAGGATTGCAGGATAGGGTAGGGGGATTAGTCTGGGTGGGATGCTCTTCAGAGCGTTAGTGTGGACTTGTTGGGCCAAATGACCTGTTTTCGCACTGTAGGGATCCTATGGAGGACCTGACATGGTAAATGCAGGATGAATGTTCCCAATAATCAGGCAGTCTATAACTAGGAGTCATATTCTAAGGGTAAACCGTTTAGAATTGAGAGGAGGAGAAATTTCTTTACGTAGAGAGTGGTGAGCCTGTGGAATTCACTGCCACAGAAAGCAGTTGAGGCATTGTGCTTTCAAGAAGGAGTATAATTCCTAAGGCTGAAAGGGTCAAAGGCTATGGGGAGAAAGCAGGAACAGGGGGATGAGTTGGATAATTGAATAGTGGAACAGGCACGCAGGGCCGAATGGCCTACTCCTGCTCCTATTTTTATGACTCTATGATCCAAGTGTCCCTGACAAGAACAGCATCTTATTTCCCATTATTACTTGTTCTTGAGAAAGTACAACTGAGTATCTTGCTATTTCGGAGGGCAGTTAAGAGTCAACCATGTTGCTGTGCGTCTAAAGTCATAAATAAACAAAGGAAAGATTTATATTTATATAGCACTTTTCACAACTACTGGTCATCTCAAAGTTCTTTAGCCAATGAAGTATTTTTGAAGTATTTTCATTGTTATAACGTAGGAAGCATAGAGGATGTGCAGCAAGCTCTCACCCGTAGAAATGTGACAATTCTGTTCTGCCCCACAAATTTTTTCTTTTTAGCATATTTATCTAATACCCAATTGAAAGTTGCTGCTCAATTTACTTGCACATCTGTATCAGGCAGCGTGCTGCAGATCATAACTGGCTGCATTGTCTTCAGTTGGGTTTTGGTTTAGAGCACAGTCACGTGGTTCCAGGGATCACCTTGAGTTGTTTAAACTGTAAAGGGGAGATTATGACCCTGCAGCCACAATAATGTCCAGAAACATTGGCCATTTGTGTTCTGTGGGCTGTGATTTCACCCGGCTATTCTGTACAAGTGAGGGGCCCCTCCTGTGACACCGTTCTATAAATGTGTGAATTGGCCTCCAGGAACATCCTGAACATCTACCAACACCTCAATTATGGAACCATATCAGAGAAACAGTTGTAGTTTTCCAGGCCTGGGCCAGACAACTTGTGGGAAGAACAGTCAAAAATGATAGAACCTTAATATGTAGAAACACATTTTTAAA